GCTGGATGGGCTCAGCAGCCCTGGGGCGTGGGGAGGAGCACTTCTTTCCAAACAGTTCAGCCAGAGCCCCAGGACTGACTTTCATGGGTCCAGCTTGGTCAGATGCCCGCTGGTCACTGGGAAGGGCTGGGCTGACCTGCCAGGCGTGAGACATGTGCTCACCCTGGAAGACATAGGTGCCCTCACTAGAGGGAGGGGTATGGTTTTTGGAGAGGCAGGAATGATCTGCCCCCCGCCCCCATACAGCCCTGTTAACTCTGGGTCTGCAGGGCGGGGGCAGCTTACAGCGGGGGGTCGGGGGGCACAGGCCTTAGACATAGTATGTGAGAAGGTGATTAAATGCTCTGGAAAAAGTAGGTAAAGGGGTCAGCATGGCAGAGTGGGGGCAGGGAGGTCTTACTGAGGTGACCTTGAAGCAAATCCCTGGAGGGGAGGGAATGCACCAGAGAGAGAGAGAGCTGGGGACAGTGTCCTCGGAGGGAAGAGCAGGTGGAAAGGTGTACAGCTGGAGTGGGGTGACAGGAAGGCGGCCACCCCTGGAGGGAGTCTGGGTCCCGCTTAGGGGTTTGAACTCAGTCCCTGCAGCTGCCACTGCCCTGGGAGGTGGACAGATCCCCGCCCCCGTCCCCCAGCAGCACCTTTGCCCCCATGGGGGGGGGGCGGTTAGCCTCAGGGCCTTGTCGGCTTCCTCCTGTGAGGCTTCCTCCATGGGCTGCTTCCAACAAGCCTTCCCTCCTTTCCTCTCATCTCTCCGTCCCTTCTTCCCTCATAGTGTCTCACCCTCCTCAGGACGAGTTCTGGAGATGGGGCCCCGCAGTCAGGACTGGGGGGTTGAGCAGGGATCAAGGGCCAGAAAGCTCACAGCTCTCTTTTTGGAGCCCAGTCTCTTCTAGAACCCTTCTGTTTGGTTTTTTACTTGCGAGAGTATGAGCCCCCAGGACAGTAACTGCCCCTCTCTTTTCGCTGTTGCATCCCTAGTGTCTTGCGTGGGCCGGACACCCAGTAAGTGCTCAAGCAAGGAAGGGACACGGGTGGGCAGGCCGCCACCTCAGATACGTGCCCACCTCAGAGCTCGTGCCTTCCCACGGCGCTGGGCTCTGAGGGGCCCTTGGAGGTGTGTGTGTGTGTGCACGTGTGTGTGCGTGTGTAGGAAGTCGATGCGTGATGAAGTGAGAGTGTGGGGTGCAGAGACCTCGCTTTTCTTTTTTTTTCTAGCACCTACTCTCTATACCAGGTATTGTCTATACCTTACAAATCCTGTATTACTGACACGACACCCCTTTGGAAAGGAAACTGAGGCTCAGGGAGGTAAAGTGGCATCTGATGGACAGCCCACGTCCATCCCACTCCACAGGCCCTCTGCATTCTGCCTAAAACCCGTGGCCTCTCCGGTTGGCAAAAAGTGGACCCGAGTTGTTGACGGCGCCGGGGCAGGCAGTGCAGGCCCGCGGTTGGCACGCGGGGCTGAGGTGGCCTGGGCAGAGTGATGGGGGGGCGCATGCGCCGTGACTCTTCTGTCCCTCTGGTGAGGGCTGTGTGTGGCTGGCTTTCCTGGCTATGGTATGGAGGCGGAGAACCCTGGCCGGTGGGGGACCGCACGGAGCTCGTGAACTGGGGCCGCTGGTCTGCTCCAGGTCTTGGGTGGGTGGTTGGTTGGTTTGGGGGGATTTTTGTGGTAAATAGGTATAACAATAAAATTGCCATTTCCACCGTTTTTCAGTATACAGTTCGGCAGCATTAAGTACATTGACGGTGTTGGGCGAACAGCACCATGATTTCCAAAATACGGTTTTCATCAGCCCAAACAGAAACTCTACATCCACTAAGCGGTAGCTCTCCGTGTCCACTCCTCCCCGCCCCGGGGAGCCCCCGGATGTTTCTCTCTCTGGGAAGGTGCCTTGTCTGGACACTGCATGGAAGCAGACTGTCAGCGCCTGTCCCATTGTGACTGGGCCTCTTTCACTCAGTGTGATGTTTTCTAGGTTCTTCCCCGGTGTAGCAGGTGTCAGGGCTTCATTCCTTTTTATGGCTGAATAACATTCCATTGCATGGATAGACCCCATTTTGTTTTATCCATTTATTTGGCAAGGTTTTTCAAAATGTAAACAATGCAAGTCAGTCCTTAATAGTTTAAAATCTGGATAGTTACAGAATGGTGCAGATTCCCAGTTTCTTCTAAACATTTGGAATGCATGATCGGGACTCCTGGTAGCTCACGGTCCCACCTGCCCAGCCACTTGCCTTACTAGCCCAGGGCAGCATCTGAGCAGTGGGAAGCGGGGGGCTCGAACTGGATCCAGGGCCCGTGGCTCTCCGGCTGACCAGCACAGGTGCACAGCCCCGGGGCAAGGGAGTCGGCAGCTCCAAGAGCCCGGGCCCCCCGGGCTCCTGAGCTGCAAGGGGCCCGGGAGTAGGCCTGCCTCCCCTCTCCCCCTTCCCCTGCCCCCCACCAGAGTTTTAGAGCAAGGGAGGTTCATCCTCCCAGGAGGTAAGCTGGTCGGGGAGGCAGGCGGTTGGGGTGCCATGTCTGAGCCTGTACAGGGGTTGGGCACTGCGGGAGGCTGTGGGCCTGATGCCCATGCTGAGCGCCGGGACGTTGGCTCACTGTGTGCCAGGCTGGTGCCCTCCTAGTAACCCCTCCTCTTGGAGGAGGACAAAGACCTCCAAGGTCAAGCAGCTGGCCTGATGGAGATGGTACCAGAGTGTGAAGTCTCACCTGCAAGGTGGGCTAAGAATGGGCACCTGCCAGAGCAAACAGGAGCTCATGTGATCAGCCAGTATGGGTGTCCATCCTTGCCTTCCAGCACCTCAGCTCCAGAAGAGGCTCCTAAATGTGTGGAGGCTTCTTCAGCAACAGGTCCTGCCCTGGTGGGAGGTGGGCGGCTGTCAGGACTCAGCTGGGGCCAGGCTAAGGAGGCATGAGGTTTCCCAGGAAGGATGGGCACCGGCTTCGTCAGGGCTGTGAGTACCTCCTTCCTAGGGACAGTAGGGGAGGAGGCCTGCCCTGAGGAGGCAGCAATGAACCAGGCCTTGAAGGTAGACTGAAATGTTCTGAGCTGTAAGCAACATGGCAGGCAGGCAGCAGAGCCCAAGCAAAGGCCTGGAGACATGAGGCCCCACGGTGGCCGGCAGAGTGGGACCTGGGCTACAGCAGTCACGGGAGGAAGAACACAGCCCACAGGAGTCTGGACTGTATTTTCCTATGTTATTCAGCAGGCTGTGGAGAACAGGAAGGTTATGGGGTGATGAAAAAGGTGGGGTGGAGACTGGGGTGGGACTGAGGGGAGGGAGGGCAGCCACTCTCCTGTGGTTCAGTAATGTATGTGCGTCTGTCCCTCCAGGAGGACTGGCACCCGGTTGGTCATCGTGACTCTCTTCCCAGCCTGGGACTGGGCCAGCCTGCAGTAGGTGCTCAGTAAATACTGCTGGGTAATTTGTTCATTCCACAAACGTCTAGATCGGTTGCTGGAGATACTGCGTTAGGAGAACCTGGCCCATCTGTGATGGAGGGGGGGCGGGGCGGCAGATGGGTGGTGAGGGCCCAGAGGTTGCAGGACCCCAGGCCCCGGGGCAGGGGGAGACACGGACTCTTGAGGTGCAGCGGAGCAAGCAGGGAAGCTGTGGGGCGGCTCGAGCCTGGAGCTGACCTGCAGGAGGATGCAGGGAGCGGTGGCTGCCCAGAGGAAGAGGAGGAGGAGGGGAGGGGCAGCCTAGCCCGGGGGACCTGCGACAGCTGAGGGGGAGGGGTGCCACTTCGCCGCGGCCTTTCCCATCCCCCTCTGCCCAGGGCTCGGCGGCTTGATGGGCAGCCGTGCCCCGCCCCCGGGCAGCCGGGAGGCCAGCGATTGGTTGGGGCTCTAGAGCCGCTCGGTCGCCATGGGGACGCTCTGGCGGTGCGCGTGCCCAATGCCCAGCCCCGGGGACTAAATCTTCATAATCTGCTGGCTGGGAGAGTGGGGGTGGGGTCTTGCGCGACCCTGGCCTGGGGGAAGGGGCGGCCTGGGAGGCGGTCAGGGCTCACTGTGGCTGCCCCTCCCCCAGCGGCTCTGGGTGCTGGGGCCGGCCGTCCGGGCACCTGGGCGCCACGGGGAACCACGCGGTACTCACCTGACAGTGACCCCGGGAACTCGGAGTATCTTTGGCCTCTGCCGTCTCAGCTGATCAAGCAGGAGGCTGGGCCTGGATTGGGGAGAGGGGCCTGGAATTTTATCTGAAAATGTCTAGCCCCTTCGTTCAAGTTTGTCTCCCCGGATTCCCCAGGCAGTGTTGTGCTCTCCGCAGCAGGGGGCGCCCTCAGCAGAGCTTTGTCGGGCTGTCACCTCTGGAAAGCGGCGATGGCCCATTGAGGTGCAGGGAATGCAGAGCCCAGACCCTGGAGCCCTGGCTCGGGATGTCCAAGGCCACGTGGCCTGACCCCGAAGGCGGCTGTGGGGGGCACACTGTGGGTAGGCGGGGCCTGCTTGTAGGAAGGAGTGGGTAACTGAGAGGGTGGGGGGCACAGTGGGGCATCAGCTCCTTCTCCTTGGGCAGATGAAGGAAGCTGAGAGCCTGCTGTGGGGAGAGGGTGTGAAGGGGCAGGGCAGTGGTGATTTAGAGGAAGGGGGTTGCCGATCAGGCCCCAAGCGACCTCTGGGGTATCCAAGGACCTCTGGCATGCAGCCACTCACTCCCAGGCCCTTGAAGCCGGGCCTCCCTTCAGCCTGGACGTGGTGCCTCGGGTGTGGAGTGCAGGAGACCACCATGCCCTGCACGCCCCACGGCTGCTCCACCCCGATGGCCTGGTTCCGGCAGAGGGACCGTGCCCCTACATCGGCTAGGGGCAGAGCTAGCCTCTTGGAGCCCCTAAAGGGGACAGCCGTGCTCACCTCCTGCCCAGAGATGCTGGTGAGGACAAGATGGGGCAAGTATTCCCTGGGGCTGCTGTGGCCACGATCCCCCAGGGGGCCTTAGGGGACAGTAGGTGCTGTAGTGGAGCCTCACACCCAGGCCTCTTGTTCCAGATGACTCCTCCTCTGAGAGTGGTAGCGGCAATGGCTCCTCCACCCTGAACCCATCCACATCGAGCAGCACGCAGGGCGATCCCGCCTTCCCCGAGATGAATGGCAACGGCGCCGTGGCCCCCATGGACTTCACCGCCACCTCTGAAGATCAGCCCATCAACCTGTGCGACAAGCTCCCACCGGGCACGGCGCTCGGCACGCCCTCCTACCCCTCCGACGGCTGTAGCACCGATGGACTGCGGAGCCGTGTCAAGTACGGGGTGAAGACCACCCCTGAGGTGTGTGGGGCTGTGGGCCCCCCGGAGCCGTGAGCCCCCTTCTTCCTGTGCATGTCAGGGCGGTGCGAGGCTGACATGAAACGCTTATGTGCCCAGAGCCGGGACGCCAAGTCAGCGTGGAGGCCCTGGCCGCTATGCCGGGCGTTCTGCGGAGGCTCAGGAATGAGATCACACGGCGTGTGACCTCAGGCTAGGCCTTCCCTTCTCTGAGCAGGTGTCACCACCTGTGAAGAGGGCTTGGCCCCGGCCTCAGTGGAGGTGGTGGGTGATGTGTGGCCTGTTCGCTTACCCGAGAACAGAGTCTGCTGCAGATTAGAGCAGCCAGGGGCCGCACTGAGCACAGAGGCCCCACCTTTCGGGGCTACTCTGCATGCCTGTCCCCGTTTCGCAGATGGTGCACAGAAAGAACGAGGCCTCTGAAGCCCCAGGGATGTGGATGTTTGAAACTCGGTAGATCAGGCTGATGTGGGCTGCGCATGAAGGAAGGGTGGCCAATGCTGGTGCCCTCGCCACCGAGCACTGCCCCCTGCCTCCCGGGACCCCCCCTCACACTTCTGCAAGCTGCCTCTGGGCCACTAAGGTCTCCTGCAATGGTGCAGTGCAGCACTGGGCACGGGAACTGTCTCGGGAGAGTTTTCTCCTGCCAGGGCGGCGGAGCCAGAGGTGACTTCTCGGAGCCCTGCACCCCTGGGCGCCAGCCATGTCCCCCTACACAGGTTCCTCCCCCTCCCTGGGCTGCCTTCTGCTGCAGAGGGCGTGGGGTGGGTGCCAGGTCTTGCCTCTGATGGCCCATCTCACGGGAAAGTTCTTTCCAGATGAGTGGGTGTTCAGTTGTCACCGTGTGTCTGAGCTCTGGCCACGGAGCAGGTACTGACCAGAGCGCGGCCTTCGCCTCCCAAGTGCAAGGGGCAGGCCTAGCCGCTACCTGCGCTGAGCAGAGAGCCGCAGAGGGGGCGTTTGCCACCGTGACCTCAGGCCACGGAAGTGAGATGGGGCATCGGTGCCGCCCGCAGCTTGTGTCCTGCAGTTTCCGTCTCCGTCTCCTCCGGCCCCAGCAGAGGACTTGGCTGAGGAGCCACTTGGGAACGTGACGTGCCCAGGGCCCGGGAGGTCTTCGGCCTCTCCACGGCAAGTCTGACATGACCCAGCAGGAGGCCGGGCGACCTAGGTGTCTCTGCCCCTTGTCAAGTCTGTGTGTGGATCAAGAGCCGGGCACCAGGCCAGGGGCCCCGGGAGGGCCGATCCCTGCGGGACGGTCATAGGAAGCCTGGTAGCGGCAGCTGCTGTGGGACTGGGCGCCGGTCTGTGTCCATCTTCATGCGTTTGTTCTTCAGCAGGAGCTGAGCTCCCCGGAAGGGGCTGTGCTCCCCAGAAGGGGCTGTGCTCCCCAGAAGGGGCTGATTCTGGGAGCAGTTCCTGCGGTGGGAACAGGCAGCGGAGGTCCCTTCTTTGCTGGTGGGCCGGGCCTACTTCCCACTCCCCCTTTCTACACACACACTCTGCGTGGGGGCTCACAGGGTCTCCCCGGGGGCGGCAGCAGACAGGAGAACCCCAGCCCGGGACCTTCGGGGATGCACTCTGCCTACGAGACCTGTCGCCTCGGCTGGTTCCCTCTCCCAGCCCATCTGTCCCCTCCTCCCTGACAGCACGCTCGCCGCCTGCGTGACAGCTCGGCTGCTAGCTCAGGGCTGCCGCCCCTTGGGGATCAGGGAGGAAAACCCCAAAGCCAAAACCAGTCTCGGCAGAACCAGAAGAGGCCGGCTGGTGGTGGGAGCCCTTCCTGCGTCTGCCTGTCCCTCGCACGATGTGGCAGGTCCTGGTGTGGGCTCGGCTGCCGGGTACAGCGCCGACACCTCTGCTCAGCACCTCTGGGGCCCCGGGCCTCTGCTGGCGCCGCTGTGGCCGGGCAGTCCTGCCTCCGGCCGCCCAGGGAGGGGTGACAACACTGGTGCCTCCAATTCCTAGATGAAGGGAACAGGGAGGGAAGGCGACGCGGGACCTCGACACTGTGGCTCGTGCAGCAGCCCGGCACGCTCACCGTCCCGGTCCCCAAGCTCACCGTGGCTGTCCGGCCGAAAGCGGGCCCGGTCTGACCCTCTGGCCCTTGCCCTCTCTCAGTCGCCCCCTTACAGCTCCGGGAGCTATGATTCCATCAAGACTGAGGTCAGTGGCTGCCCTGAGGACCTGACGGTGGGCCGGGCCCCCACAGCAGATGATGACGACGATGACCATGATGACCATGAGGACAACGACAAGATGAATGACTCCGAGGGCATGGACCCCGAGCGCCTCAAGGCCTTCAATGTGAGCACCGGCGAGGGACGAGCGGGGCAGGGGCGGGGGCCACAGCCATGGCCAGCCCTTCCCACAGCCTGTGTCTCCCGCAGATGTTCGTGCGGCTCTTTGTGGACGAGAACTTGGACCGCATGGTGCCCATCTCCAAGCAGCCCAAGGAGAAGATCCAGGCCATCATCGAGTCCTGCAGCCGGCAGTTTCCCGAGTTCCAGGAGCGGGCCCGCAAGCGCATCCGCACGTACCTCAAGTCCTGCCGGCGCATGAAGAAGAACGGCATGGAGATGGTGAGCCCCTCCTCCCCGTCCGCCCCACTCCCTCCACACTGCCACGGGCCTGCAGCCACACCCGCAGGGCCCCTGGGCAGCCCCCTGGCCGGACACTTGTCCTCCACCCAATGACCGCGGACTCACAGAAGAGGGAGCTGAGGCCGAGAGGTTACACAGCTCCAGGGAGCACGGGCCTGGAGCCCCCGGCCCAGCCCTGTGCCAGCCCCCTCGAGGGCAGGGGTCTGTCTGGGTCAGCCCCAACACAGGCTCCGTCCCTGTTGTGCCTGCAGACCAGACCCACGCCTCCCCACCTGACCTCGGCCATGGCCGAAAACATCCTGGCAGCTGCCTGCGAGAGCGAGACGAGAAAAGCAGCCAAAAGGATGCGCCTGGAGATCTACCAGTCCTCCCAGGTACCTGCTCCCCAGCAGCCCCGGGCAGCAGGGGTGAGAGGGCGGCTGGCAGTCATGCCGCAGACCCCCAGGCTGGGCAGACCCCCCCCGCGCCAACCAGGCCAGCCGGTGTGCAGGGGGCGGTGAAGGCGGGGCGGCGGGGGGCAGCGGGCAATCCTCAGAGCCAGACGGAGCCTCGCTGGGGCAGATGCACCAAGTCGCAGGAGGCTGGCACACACAGGCCCTGGGCACCCCCGGGGTGTGGCCTCCGACGGTGTTTTTAGCTAGGCTGGGACAGATCAACTCTGGCCCACGGAGACACAAGCAGAGTCCTGCAGGTCGCAGCACTGGGTCCCAGGGACAAGGGTCGGGACGGCCGCCCCTCTGGTTCCCTAGCGCTTTCCTCCCCCTCTGTAGGACGAGCCCATCGCCCTGGACAAGCAGCACTCCCGGGACTCCGCAGCCATCACCCACTCCACCTACTCACTGCCAGCCTCCTCCTACTCCCAGGACCCTGTGTACGTCAACGGCGGCCTCAACTACAGTTACCGCGGTTACGGGGCCTTGGGCAGCAACCTGCAGCCCCCTGCCTCCCTCCAAACAGGAAATCACAGTAATGGTGAGTGCGGGGGACCCAGGCTCTCTGGCTCCCTGACCGGAGCCCAGGTCTGTGCGCAGCGCAGCCTCAGGGAAGGGGGCAGGGCAGGCGGGGAAGGTGCCTCCCTCGTGGCTCAGGGACCTTCCCTGCTTCACAGTCTTGGCCAGTCCTTAGATGGGGAGGTGAGGAAAACTTCAGGCAGTTAAAACAAAAAGCCTACTGGTCCTTTCTCGCCCTTGAGGTGGCTTACTCCAGAGCTCGAGTGGATGCCCTGCCGGGCCTCTCCCTGCCGGGCCTCTCCCTGCCGGGCCTCTCCCTGCCTCGGCTCCCTGAGGGCCACCGTGAGCTCAGAGTTGCAGCCAAGGCCCTGCTCTACCTGAGTTGAATCCTCTGCACACCCGTGCTTTGCCCACGACCGACCAAGGCTCAGGGAGATGGTCACCGGGAGTTGGTGGCAGAGCCAGCATCTAGCCCAGGCGTGGCCCAGTTCTGCTGTGGCCTGGGGGGCCCGCCTCAGCCCTTGCTGTCACTACGGAGCCCCATCTAGGTCACCTGGGGCCACAGTGAACCATCTGTCCCCCCCTACTCCAGCCCCTGAAGCTGGTGATTCCCTAGATGGGACACAGCCCCAGATTGGGGAAACGGTCCCTGAAAAGACGCAGACCTCCCTGTGGCGTTAGGCGCTGCCCTGAGTGGGAACTGGAGTGGACGCCCCCCTTGAGTCCGGGGACCTCTGCTGGTGGAGAGGAGCCTGGCGGCCTCGGGGCATGCGCAGGGGGTGGGTGGGGGTGACCTCGGGGCCTCTTGGGCCGGGCACTTGGATTCTGTTCTATGTGCAGTGGGAACCACTGATAGGTTTTAAGAAAGGAGGGCTGTGAACCGCGCTCTGCCTGCCCTCCGTGGTGAGATCAGAATTGGAAGGACAGCAGGCAGAAGTTTTGTGCACAGAGGGTCATTCAAAAGCAAAGGGGTGAGGAGGAGAGCTGAGGGCGACCCCAAACTGCTTGAGTAGGCTGGAGGAAGGTGTCGCCCACAGGCCAGGAAACTTGGGTTTGAGGTCCTGGCTGAATGTGCCTGAACAGTTCCTCTCAAGCCCTTGTCCTTGGCTGCAGGAGACCCCTCATGGTTCCTGGGCAGCAAGGGAGGCGCGGGCCCCTACCCACGGCAAAAAGCCCCAAGCCCCCTCCGCTCACCTCGCTCCTACCACCAGGAAGTGTGTGCAGGTCCCTAGAAGACTGCTGCCTGGGCTTAACTTCTCATCCCTTCCTAATGCCTCTTAACCTAAAATAAGAGGCTGCCTGGCCTTAATCCCCGAGGCGGACGCCTGAGCAGCCATTTGCAGCGAGAGGAGGAATGGCTGTCCCCGAAAGGCTGTTTTTCTTCCAGGAAGAAGAGCCACCTGACAGCCCTTCTGAGTGGGGACCCTGTTAGAGTAGCCCAAGACAGGTCCCAGGGCAGGGAGGATAGGACCCCTGGACGGACACGGTGAGCCCGAGGCTCCGTCCTTCCCAGGCCGCAGGCGATGGCAGCCAGCCCCGACCTGGTGCCGTGCAGTGCGGCCTGTGTCACGGCTGCAGCCGCCGGGGAGGGGAGGGCACCGGGCCTGCTGCCCTCGGGGCCCTGTTCACACCTGCCGGAGGGGCTCTCGCAGCCGCCCACCCTCCCTCTGAGGGGGGCAGCCGGCTCTGCCCCTGTGCTTCCCGGGGCCTCTGTTCCCTACTGTAAGCACCCTGCTTCCGTAGAGGTGAGTGGGGAGGTCACGGAGGCAGAGACCTGTTTCCTCGCCTCCGGCCCAGGGCGGCCCATGTCCTGGGAGCACTGGCTTGGAGCCCAGCGGCTGGGGGAAGACCACCGGCGGCCGTCCCGGTCCCGCTGCCCGCCGTCCTTCAGGCACAGCAGCGCCTCGGCAGGGCCGCCCCACTAGTGGCTCAGAGCTCCTCCCTGTGCTCATCAGGTGGCCGGCGGGAGATGCCGCTCGGCTTCCGTACAGTCCGCTCGGCCCGCCTTTCCCGGGGCTGCTGGGCCCCTTGTGCCCACTCCTGCCCCCACTCCTGCACGTCACCCCAGAGCAGATGGGCTGCGCGAGGTAGGGACGGTCTCCTGTCCCGGCCCCGGCTACTGTCCAAGAGAGACGGGACGGCTCAGAGCACAGGGCTGAGGGACGGAGAGAGGGGAGCCCACCACATGTTGTCTGCGGGCGATGGGGAGGCACCCCTGCCCCCCGCCTGTCCCCGGAGCCCTTTGGCCACCGCGAGGGGAGCCCACCGCCTGCTTGGCTGTTGTTTCCAGCCAAGTCACAGCCCGGCTCCTTCCCCCTGCATTTCATTTTTACAGACTGAGCTGCTCCCTGGACTCTCAATTCCAAGGATGTCCCTTAGCATAAGCCGTTTCCAAGTCTGCCTCCTTGACGCCACGTGCTTTGGTCAGAGAGGACACCGCCTCGGTGACGGTGACGGATGGGCCCATTTCGGCCTCCTTCCCTGTTAGGGGCCGCACCCCTCCCCTCAGCGGCAGTCATTTCCAGTTTCTCCCAGCATGTTGCTTCCAGTCTAGAGGCCTCCAGTGACTCGAGCTTGTCCCTCTCTCTCTGTAGTGGCAGAGAGTGCCCCTGTAGGGCCCCTGTAGATGCAGTAATGAGTGGCGCTGGCTGCCAGAGCCCACGGGGTCGTGGGGAGACGGCTGACGAGCACGGACAGCCTCCCGCGCCTGCCCGCCAGGGTAAGCCAGCCCAGCGCGAGGAGGGACTGGGCGGCGGGCAGGCACCGGGAGACGGCCTCCCCCAGGACACTCCAGCTCCCACGCCCCCAGACATGGCGCTTCTTTGGCTGTGTTCTGGCTTAACACCTCAAAAGAATGTGTTTCAAATTCCAGGAGCCTCCTGTCTCCTGGGAGCCCATTCAGAAAGCCCCAAAACCTGTCTGGAAGCCCGCCCCTCCCCCACCCCCACCATGGGCCTGGCAGCTCCTGGGGCCCGTGCTGAGAGTTTCACAGGCCCGGCTCAGCCCCCAGCAGCCTCCTCGGGTTCCGAGGCTCAGGGATGTGGAACAGTGGCCTGCGGCGTGGCAGAGCAGGCCTTGAATTCAGGCGAGCCTGATGCCAAAGCCCGCGATGCACCCGTGGAGCGGCTTGGGAAAGGCAAAGAGGAGACAGGGCCTGGTGGTCCCCTGCCACACACACCCCTAGGATGTTTCAGAAGACTTTGGGCTCTTTTGCTGCCACCGTTCTGAGGGCAGAGGGGACTTCTCCCGATAGCACCCCTGGGTCCTGTCCTTCCCAGCCCCTTCCCTGCAGGGCACCGTCACCCTTCGGCTGGCCTGGCCCCAACCTCTCCCACAGCCAAGCAGGGCACCTGGCCTTTCTCCTCCACCTGGGCAGAAGCCCCTCCCTGGGCTGAGCACACACATGGGTGTTTCTTTTCCTGGTGTCCTGTGGCTCCAGTCTGAACTCTGGGGCTTTCCACACACTCCTTTTTCTCAGGGTGTAAGGTGCCTGCTTACCTGCAGCATCCTGAACAGCCACCCCATCGGGGGACAAACAGCACATGGCCACATGTACGGCACAGGCCGATGCCGACGGCCTTTCTCACAGGGTTAGGCCCACGCTGCCCGGAGGCCATCCCCTTTACCAGGGGAGCGCGGTCTACCCGCCGGTCCTCAGAAAGCTGCTGAGGTGCGAGCAGGGCCAGGGAGCTAGAGTTCGAGCCCCTTGCCGCGGGCCACCCTGCCCGGAAGGCAGCAGCGTGCGCACGTTCACCGCGTGACCTGGGGCAAACCTCCGACCTCCAGGCCTCCCCAGCTTCCACCTGTCAATGATAAGGTCCCCTTCCTTGCAGGATCGCCCTGAGGGTTAGCAGAGAACCCCACGTCTCATCTGCTGGTACCGGGCCCCGTTCTAGGCACTAGGGTACAACTGTCGAGAGGCCTAAGCGCCTGAGCCATGGCAGGCCCCCAAGACGACGCACAGGGTGACGGCACCTCCCAGATACCCTGCGAGGTGTCGGCCCCCCTCCTCACCTGCGCTGTCCCTTCCACAGGGCCCACCGACCTCAGCATGAAAGGCGGGGCCGCCACGGCCTCCAGCACGCCCACGCCCACGCCCTCCGGCAACAGCACCAGCAGGACCATGCCCGCTGCCCAGCTCAGCCCCACGGAGATCAGTGCGGTGCGGCAGCTCATCGCCGGCTACCGAGAGTCTGCCGCCTTCCTGCTGCGCTCCGCGGACGAACTGGAAAACCTCATTTTACAGCAGAACTGACCCCCCGCGGCACCTGGAGTGCACTACCCTAAGGAAGGAGGCTGTCCCGGCCCGGCTTCCTGCCTCACCACTTGGTACATTTTGTTTTCTGAAAGAGGTGGGATCCAAAAGAGCTGTTTCTAGCCACACGCCAAGCACCTGCGACTTTGGGCACAAGGACACTTTTTTTTTTTTTTTTGGAATCTCACCACACGGGTGCTCTGACCTGCTTGGAAGAGGCCAATGGGGCAGCTTTGGAAGGGCTGGGGCTCCCCTGACAAGGCGCTGGGGACGCAGCTCTATTTAGAATCATCTTCGTGGACCCTGATGTTAGAATCCCACCCCCAGATAATTACCTTTCAAGTCTTAGGTGAGCAGAATTGCATATTTATTGAGAAAAACAAAGTGGACCCTTTCTTCCTCTCCCCTTAGTAATTTATTTTTCTGAAAATGGATTCTTTTGTGTTTGTACAGATTGCCAGTCTGTGTCTGTCTGATCAGAAGGATGTATCCCTGTCACCTAACATTCCATATCACTACACTGGCGCGGGCTGGGGGCCGGCAGGGCGGGGTGCAGTGGGGCGGGCGCCGGGCTGGCTGTCCTTCCGAGCGCCCAGCACCGCCAAGCCGGAGGACCTCACCCACACCCAAGGCAAAGCAAAGACAAAAACAGCTCCCCCACCCCCATTCCACAGAAGCCCCAGTCACACGGCCACCTGTATTCTACCTCACACTCCAGCGTGGGCTTTTTCCAGGATGTGCCCTGAGCCCGTTCTGAACGGCTATCTATCTCCCGACTCCCCCACACGCGGTGTCTGCCTGGGAGGCAAGTCCAGAGGGGTGGCCAGGAGCTGGAGCCCAGACAGGGCTGTGACCCTCCGGAGCAGCTTGCAGCCCGCCCCCCGCCCGGCCCCAGCCCTCCTGGCTCTTCACCAGGACAGACAGCTGGGGGACAGCCGCCGGTCAGGAGGGCCCCTGCCCTCACCTGCCCCCAGGGAGCCGGGTCTGAACACTTCTCCACATAGGCCCAGGGCCCTCGGACACGTGCCGGGAAGGGCCTGTTTCCTCAGGGTGGGCCCCCAGCTGTCAGGCAGCCACCAAACAGGAAAAGCAGCTGCGAGCCCCTGGTCAGACTGCAGCTCCTGTCCTCTGCCCCCGTGGCTGGAGTAAAGGGACCATCAACAGAAGTAGAGAAGCCACTTGGGTTCTCCGAGGACCTGCCCTTCTGGAGGGGCCAGTCCTGGAAGAAACCTATAACCCTGGAGTGTGAAAAAGGGCAAAAGCAAAGGCTGGCCTGGTCGTTCCTCCCCAGTAGGCACCACTTCTTGCTCAGTGCAATACCTCCCAGTGCTGCTAAAACCAGGGATTCCCCCACACCTCAGAGGGCCCACGGGGCCTCTCCGTGCGATACTCCGTAGCCATGACAGCAGCTCTCTGCTGCCCGCCCCCGCCCAGAGCCGGCAGAAGCCCTCTGTAGCCTTTCCTCCCTCAGAGCAGAGCGGCCCCAGGGGAGGCAGGGCTGCATGGACCCTAGGAGGGCCACAGCCACTCGACCCCAGAGCAGGTACCCCTTCCCAAACCAGCTATCTGCAGCTACCTGCCTCCCAGCACTATGGCAGACCACCGTCAGGAGGGCCGGAGGGGGGGGTGTTTGGTTGGGGGGGGGGGTCCCGCTTGGGCCAGAGCTCTGAGAGGTAGGGTGCCCCACCCTGTGCTTGCTTCCAGCCCCCAGCAGTCGGGGGTGGTCCTTCCTCTCTCAAGTGGCCTCCCAACACCCCCCAGCCACACCACCTCTGCCTTCCATCTGGCCAATCTCCAGGCCTCTGGTCAGGGCCAGGACACCCGAGACGCCCCTTCGCACAGCACAAGCTCCCGCGCCCAAGGCCCGTCCCCCACCCCAGCCATCCGCGCATCCAGCCCCCACCTGCTCAGTGCTACTCCCGGACGTTTCAATTTGTGTAAATATTTTTGTGTGTGAACAATACTACAAAGTAATCAGTAGGTCTTTTGGAAAATGTTACCCCAGGCAATTTGTGAGATTCTTAATGTTAAAAACTGGCAGAGACAATCGCCGCCTTAGAATTCTTGATACCAACTGCTTAACTTGTCATTCCCCCTCCCGGGAGGCAGGCCCCAGGCCAGGCGCGACTGCAGTGCTCTCCTCACAGGAGACAGGAGGGCTGGGAGCTGCCACCACCCCCACACTAGGGATCGGATCTAAAGACCAGCCTAAGTTTCGGCGTGCAGTCCCGCTTTCCTGAGCTGACCACCTCAGCCTGCCTGGGCGCGGGCGCACTGGTGTGAGAGCAAGGCTACGCAGCCCCTCCGGGACAGTGGATTCTGCCACCGTCACCCCGCCGCCTGGGGGGGGGCTCCTTCTCTGTGAAGCTCTGCCTGAAGCCCGGCTGAGGGCAGAATCAGGAGCAAGTCGCTGTGTGGAAACAGGACTCCATTAGCTAGTTCAGTCAGGGAACTTGTTCTGTTTTGCTTTTGTTTTCAGAGATGCAGCTTCAACCCCTCCCCACTCCTCCTGACTTGGAGAGCACCAAAGAGCTGGTTCTGCTGGACCCAGCTCACCGCTGTCCCACCCTCACCCTCACCCCAGGGACTGCCTTCTCCCAAAGGGAGCTTCCAACGCCCTGCCCCGCAGCCATTTTAAATTCTCACGGAGGGCCTCAGGGCACAAATTCATCACTGGGGATCCTAAGCTAAAAGGTAGCTCAAGAGTAGAATACACCGATTCCAGAGTCTTTGCAGGGGGCTAATTCCAGCAGAAGGGTAGAATCAGGAGAAAGGGGAATTTGGTCTTCGTGGTAGACATCTAGTAGACCAGTAATGGTGTGACCCATCTGAAATTCATTTTACCGTCACCTCCAGTACAGTTTATACCCCAGGACAGTGTTGAGGGGGAGGGGGACAGGAGGGGGCTAGCAGGGTTTTCAAGGATTTCAAACAGGTGGAACCCGGCCATCCCTATTCCTAAGGGCCACTTACGACTCCAGGGGTGGTTACAGGATTAACTACCAGTTCATTTTCAAAATGCTGCTTTGAACTCAGAGGGTTGATACTTTTAATTTGTAATTTTTTGTAAAACTTTTTACAAGATAGTAAAGTATTTCACCAGAATACCAGTTTCAATCCGTCCATGGTCTGATTTTTATATAATTTAGTGGTGCTTTAGAAACTTTGTTTTTGTTGTTTCTGAGCTAAACAGCTCAATCCTTTTTCGCCTGTATCTACCTAAGACCAATGTGAACCTTTGTATTTTTGCTCCTAATTTTGGACTCAGTGAAAGTGTACTGTTTACATGTACAGATGCCCCAGTCCCTGTGTGTTCTGCAAGACTCGCTCTTGAGGAGGAAGGTGCACCTCACTAAGCTCATCTGCTTAGCAAAGCCACAAAACAAAAACCTCTCTTTTTACCTATGTTTCCACCTAAAAACAAAAACGAAAACCCTACACAACATAGAACTCAAGATTTGCTGAAAAATAACTTTTTCTAAGCTCGGAAAAATCTCCGTGCGGCAGATGGCCCATACGCCTCTGTGGCGTGGTCCGTTAGGAGCAGGGGGCGGAGCGGGGACGTCCCAGCAGCTGCTGGTGGGCACCTGCATGGACTCCCAGAGCGTGCGAGCGGGACTTCGCGGCAGCGCTGGGGGGCGGTGGAGGTCTCCCAGCAGCCTGGCAGTGGGGAGGTCAAGGTGACTCGTGGGACCTTCAGGGTCAAGCCACCCAGGATTTAGGGACGACCCAAGAGGCTGTCAATCCTCCGGTATAATTTAGACATGTTTTGGGAGTGCGCAAATTCCCTGAGATGAGGTTTTCGGACTTTCCAGTGCAGATGGTACAAGCATTCCTTCAGGGCTTCCCTGGAGGCAGCTCGCTCTGGAGGCCTCACTTCTGAGGAGGGGCAGGGGGCTCCAGACGGTAAGCATATGGCACGTAAGACAAACCGTGGATGGCACCAACTTTTAAAGGTGACTCTTTATTAATCAATGGCTACATCTCTAAATTATATTTTTACAGATATGCACCTATGCAACTTAACGTGGCTCTTCTAAGCAGGTGAGCACTTCCTCCTCGATGCTCTATAAAAAGGATTTGTGTTCTATAGAGTTTTTTCCAGTAAATGTGGCTTAATATTTTAATTCTTAGAATGTGTCTTCTCTATGTGATGCAACTAAATTCTGTTTTGTTTGTGGAATGACTAGCACAGGCCAAGTCCCTCTCCCTCACTTAACAAAAGACCAATGAGCTGTTAATCGAGCTGTTATCTCCATGGTATTACTTGCTAAATGCACTGATTTCATAAGTATGTGGAATCCTTTTTCTTTTGAATCTGTATATCATATATAAGACTGAATCTACTTAATAAACACTGAATAACAAACCGGATGCTTCATTCCCACCGTGTCCTCTCAACAGCCCTGCCAGCTAGCTCTCTTCCCTGCACGTTTGTGCAGGGCCGCACTGGCCCGCCGCTCTGCTGGTAAGTACCCCGCCTCTCCCGGCTAGCGCGCCAGCCCACCACGGAAGGCCTCGGTAAACTGTCCTCAAACGAATAAGCCTCTCATTTCTTTCGACAACCCAGCCCGTTAGAGAAGGAAATGAACCTTCACTGGCACTCATCGGGTGGCAGGTGTACTCCCGGGGGCGCACACCGGTGCCCCCCGCGGACGCATGCCCTCCCTGCCCGCCCCCGGCCCCACTGAAACCAGGCTCGCACACACTGGCCCTCGGTGCTGGCTTGGGAGACTGAGGGCCTGAACCTTCAGCACCTGATGTTCCATTTGACCCCAAAACTCCTGAGCCCACCTTGAGGGAAAAGTGCTATTTACTTGTGCACAGACTTTTTTCATCCTACATAGATCATTTAGGCTAAACCTTGAGGAAAACTTGCAGGAATATGGCTGGGGCCAAACCTGTCATGAGTTTAAAAGCAATTCTGCGAGTTACAAGCATAAATTAAAAGTGTGTGTGTGTGTGTGGTGTGTGTGTGTACAGATAGACACACATTGCATGGCAGTTTTTAAAACATTTGTTTTTTGTAATGGCAGAAGAATCTTTTTAAAACCGAAATTCTATACAACACCCAAATATATGAAATAAACAGAGAGGGGCGATAGTTTGAAGCCACCACACCCAGGGAACCCAGCGTGGGGCCAAGGTTCATAAGATTAGCAGGGACTGTAAAAGCCAAAGACAGCAGTTATATGCCTCTCTTCACGCAACGTAGGGACCAAGGGCCGCAATGCCTCAATGATACCATGAAACGCCCGTCCTAACCCAAACTAGCCCTGCTGAGAATCACCAAGGGGCCACGGAAACCCCCGACCTGGGCCAGCACATCCGGAGCCCAGCCCCACTGCCTGCAGAGCACGCCAGCGGCGCCGGGAAAGCACTTACCTCCAGATGAAGCACGGCAGC